GGTCTTCTTCTCCTCCATGCGTACCAACATCTCTTCCAATGAAAAAATAGAAAAACCTATTTTCTCTATTAATTTACATTAGAATAAATCATATACATTTCGTCTAAAAAATAAAAATATTTACAAACCGAATTGAATAGAATAATACAACAAGGTGCGCGGATTCTTGGCGCCAATAAATATTTCGAACTCCACCAAACGAACAGCCCATAAATCAAGAAATAAATATAGAACATTTCTATAATTATTGCAGATAAATAAAGAAATAATTTTTAGACCATATGCCCAAAAATTGGGAACCAATTCCCAATAAAACTGTAAATTACGCAAATCGGGTAGAACACCTTCTACCCATTTGCGCAAATCCAGATTTGGTCTAATTTGGTTCAAGACTTGAACCTAGCTCTGAGACCACTGAAGGGAAAGGAGATCCATCATATGGATGGCCAAACCTTATAGGGAGGTTGGGCAAAATTTTAAAAGTTTTCTTTCTCCCTTCCAGGAATCCTATTCCCTAATTTAGAAATCTGCATTTTTAAGGTTCGTTCTTGAAACAAATCGGACCAAATCTAAAACCAAAAGGAAGCAAGTAGGGATATACCTGATACGGAATAATAGTAATTCCCGACGTAGGTGTTCACGCACAAAGAGGTGACCAAAACCCGCCTCCACTAAAGATGACACATCTTATGGTGAGGTAGGATCAGCAAAGTGGTTCTTCAGTAAAATCCTAATTCTTTAGCAATAATCATGCAAGGGGCTGGTGAACACGACTTTAGATTGTTTTTTCTAGCAAGAAAAAATATCAAGAACTATTCTTGATCATATCCAAAGGTGGAAATTGAACTAGGTAGGGGCGACAAGAACTGGAGGAGAATTTTGTAGATTGTTGAGTGAATGAAACTAGTGAATTCGCCCCCTATTTATAGCTTTCTTTGGATCAGCTTCCTAATCCAATTAGGAAAGAGTTTCTTGATGATTTGGATCTAGACTCTTAAATGGATAAGACTTTTCTTATCCTTTAGCTAATCTTAATTAATTATAAACCAGAATTTTCCCCTTTTAAATTAACTCACTTAAGCCCAATTCGTAATGGGCTTTAGGCCCATTTAGTCAGATAGCTCTCTTTATATGGTGTTAGACCCTAGCATTGATCTACACATCAACCACGTGGGTTCAGCCCAGCCTTTGTTACAAGGCCTGGCCAAATTCATTATAGAACACAATGAACCCCTAAGTCTATCAATATGGCCTCTTAATAGGCCCAACATTTACACTAAATGGTCCTTGGGTCCAACCACCTTATGAAGGCCCAAGGACTGTGGGTAGATGCAAAATTAGCTCGTCAGGTATAACCCTCAATGGTCTTATACTTAACCACTCGGCCCATAATGATCAAACACTACCCAACAAGAGAAGACCTCTCCCTTGGCTATAAGGTACAGTCTTGCACTCTTTACTCACATGGATACCGGAAATTAAAACCTTTTGTAAACATTTTGTGAAACCATAATATATATGCATATCTCTATATAAATATATTTTGCAAAACAAATCTTACACTTTGAAATCAACTGTCGACAGTTTAGGTTTCCATCAGAGAGAGTGCATTCCCCGATCATTCACTTGTCTGACAAAGGGGCTGATCCTATCACTATGATCACCCACTTAGGTGAATTCTCAAACTGTTCCAATATACCCAGGTTTTAACCCGGTTAAGAATCTCACTGATTGGCATATCAAAAATAGCCCAATCCGACACCTAGTGCAGTACCATAATCGAATGTCCAGGGCAATAAAGGAATTTGGTCCGGTTTCAGAGTTTCAAGCAAACCCACACTACATGTGCTTTGGGTCATACCCTAGTAGATTGGTACCAGCCACCCCAACCTTCTTGGCAGCACATTAATATCAGCCCTGGCAGGATATAGCTCCCTTGGTTTACCCATCGGCTGTGAAGATTCTAAACTAACACGAGTCTCATAAGTGTCCAGTTTAAGGGTATTACACAGAAACACACTAAAATAACATGAATCAATTATGCACCTTATTTATTTACAATAAATGTCAATAAGTACATCAATCTAATTGGAGCTAAAGGCATAACTGTCTAACACTAGGTGATTATTAGCCTAGAGTTGGAAACCAGGACCAAGTCCTAGACCCACCTCGTTGCCTTGACAATCAGAACCAGGCCCCAATAGTGGAGAATAGTAGAGCCACAACACCAATAGGGACAAAAGGGAACAACACCACTGAGCTAAAGGCATAACTGTCTAACACTAGGAGACACCGTAGACGCTCATGTCACAGCACTAGAAAGAGTCACCTCGCTCCCACCAACAACGAGGAGGCTGAGAAGAAGGGATAGGGTAGCCAGGTCATCGCGTAGCCAGTAACACCACGTGTGACCCGAGCCTCATTGCTAGCACCAGAGATCCTTAAGGCCCCACGGTCTAAGGAATTCAAATCCCCGAGCATGGAATTGTACAACGAGACGACCGACCGACCTGGTAGATCACAGTGATAGTTTCCATGCCTTGATGCAGCTTCATGGGGTGAATGACACAAGCCTCTGTATGGCATTCCTCGTGATGTTCCAAGGTACAACTCGGATGTGGTACTCGGGATTGATCAAGAATTGGAACCAGTTTGTTGATCTATTCACTACGCACTTCGCCACCAGTAAGAGGTGCCCCATGTCCGCAACCTATCTACTAAACGTGGTCCAGAGACCAAACGAGCCTCTCCGAGAATACATCAAAAGGTTTAACCTCAAGCGACTCCAGATCCCTAACCTTGACTCGCTAGACAGCAGTACAGCTCACTGCAGCGGTGAACAACATCCGCCATCCTGACTTACACTGGCAAATTCCGTTGAACCCTCCAACCTCTATGGAAGTGTTCCTCATCGAAGCAGACAAGTTTACAAAAGCAGAAGAGGCGTTGGGAACCTGGTTAGAGCTACAGATGTCCGGGAAGAGAAAGCAACCAAAGGAAGAAGCGTGGAGTAGCAAGCAACGGTGAGGAAGCAAGTTGACAAAGAGAAGTTGGTCATCCCGCAGAAGGCGAAACAAGTCGCAACACCGGAGTTCTAGATCAGGTCAGCGATCCAGAACCCCACCAGTCCAAACTTGGAATTACACTACCCTGAATGCAAAGAGGGGTGAGATCTTGATGTAGATAAAAACAGTTGAGTACATGAGATGGCCGCCTAGGATGAGGGACGACCCCACCAACCGTGACATCAGCAATGTCACGGAGAGTTGCCGGAATCTGAAGGATTTGATCGAGGAACTGATCCGTCACGGCTACCTTTGACAGTTTATCAAACACGATGAGAGAGATGCTCGGCCTGCCGACCAGCCCAGGGAAGCACCAAAATCGAGCAGGCAACACGATCAAGATCAGCTACCTCGAGATCCACACAATCGGGGTGATCAACATGATAACCGGATGATCAATTGTAGTAGGATGCAGCACGACGACGAAGAAGAATTCAGTTCAGGAGCTAAAGCAAGAGGACGAGAATCCGCCGAAGCGCCCTTAGGTGCAAGAAGTCATCTATTTCACAAAGATGACGCTCGGAGGATCCAGTATCCGCACGGTGATGCCTTCGTCGTCAAAATGAGCTTTAATGACTTCGAGGTAAAGTGAATTCTGGTAAACTGAGGGAGCTCGACAGACATCCTATCCATGGAAATCTTCAAAAAGAAAGTATACATAGGATTCCTTGGAAGTAAAAACTCCACACATAGGAATCCATCCGCACATTGGAAACAACTTTAAAGTATCAGAACTCCCACAATACAACGTGCACAATAAGGCATATTGTGATGATACTTCGAATCTTGACATATACACAGGAGATATTCCCAATGTGTGATTGAATGTTGTATGAGCAAAGTTTTTTTTCTTGTAGAAGATCTGGGCTCAAAATACAGGAGGGCCCAAAGCACCTCGAACATTCCAAAACCCAATACTAAAACTGAGAACCCCCAAACAAGCCCAGCCCACCAATTTACAAAAAGAAAAAAACCAATAACGAACGTAGAGAAATGGTTGGGGTGCAAATTTTGCATTGCATTCCAAAAGTTGAAATACAAAATTTGCATCTTCTCCCATTTTCGTTCTCTCCCATCATCCCATGTCCCTTACAAAAGTGAACCATTATAACTGCCATTTTGTATGCACATTCTCCCATATGCAAGAGTGCCCCTGTGGGGAGTCCGGATCTCCTCCCAGCAAAATACATTCCAACACCCTACAACATCATTACACCACACATCACCTTGGTGAGTGCTAGGAAAATTTTTGTACTGGATTATGCATCAATTGGATTGGATTTGGTCCAATGTGAATCCATCATAAATGGATCAGGTCCAAATCAAATAAATATTTTGGACCATTTTGGACCAGTCTAATTCAATAAATAGACCGTTCAAATTCTATTTTAATTTAGATTGGTTTCAACCCAAATCCAATCCATTGACACCTATATTCCTATCTTATATCAATGGACCAGATATTGGCTTAATCCCACTCAATCCAATATAAATTTGTTATGAATGGACCAGGTCCAATCCAATCTAATCAATATTTTGGACCAGATTGGTCCAGTCCAACATATTTTGTTGTTCTGCACAATCTATTCAATTTGATTTTTTACTGGACGGGGTCCAAACCAAAACTGGTCCATTGACACCCTTAATGTATGTATGAATGTATTATTTTATATAACATTTTTCTTCGACTTTTACATAGCATTTTGTTACATACATTCTTCATAGGCCTTACGGCTCAACCAGGGCCTAGGCCTAAAGACTTAGGCCCAACCGATCTAGCAAAAAAAACAAAAAGAAAAAAAAAAAAAAGATTTATAATGTGAGTTGAAGTAACTGGTTTTTCATAAAATAGGAAAGTAGTTTTTGTGTTGTTTTATTATTAGAATTTAGAAGCTTCTGTATTTGTACAAATTGGATTCTTCTGTGCGTATCGAATTGGATCTCTCCCCCTTTCAAGATAAATAGTATGGAACGGGGTAGAAGGATTGGTGAACTACAGACATCAATCAGAGACACGAGGACACAACGTACTTCACTCTGTCACTCACACCAAACCAGAGACGAATCAAATCAAACAACAGAAAACAAGAGCAGGAGATGGCTTCCGAAGACAGGTTGAAAGGACCAGACCAGCCGAAGCTGTGCATCAATGGGTGCGGGTTCTTTGGGACAGCGGCAAACCAGAACCGCTGTTCCAAGTGCTACCGCGACCACGTCCTCCGCAAGTTAGAGAAGAGCTCTTCCTCTTCTTCTTCCACGGTGGTTCCCTCTTTATCTTTGCCGTCGTTGTCACCTTCACCGACGACATCTTCTTCTCCTCCTCCGGCATCCTCGGTGGGTTCGAAAGCGACGGTGAACAGATGCGTTAGCTGCAGGAAGCGTGTCGGCTTATTGGGTTTTACGTGCCGGTGCGGGAGCACATTCTGCTCGATTCACAGATACCCAGAGAAGCATCAGTGTGGATTCGACTTCAAGACCACTGGGCGAATCGCCATATCTGAGACTAGTCCAACAATCAAGGCCGACAAACTCGATGAGAGAATCTGACCTTTTTTCATTCCTTCCTTCTCATACTCTTAGTAGGGGCAATTAGTAATTGAATTTTTTTTATTGTTTGTTTTTTCCCTGTTTTTTAAGTAATAACTATGTTAATGGTGAAGAATTAAGGTTCAGATTTCTTTTGTTAAAATTCTGAAAATTTGTTCATAAATAGTTTCATCACATATTATTCTTTTCTGTCTCCATAGCTTCGCTTGTGTAGGAGAGAAGAGTGCTTATTTTTTGTTTGAAAAAGGTGCTGTCAGATAGGCTGTTTTTTTGGAAAAACAGGTACCAGTGCTGTGGAACCGCTTTCAACATTGGTCTATATTATCCAACGTCCATGGAAAAACAGGTACCAGTGCTGTTTTCTAGGAAAACAGAACTGGTTTTTTTTTATACAATTGAAATTGGTCTATTATCATCCAACTTCCAAGATGATCCATGTTGATGCCACATCATTGCATCAATGGCAGCAATGTTTTCTAAGTAAACATTGAATATGTGTTTGGTTCCATTTATGTTTATTGAATAATCGTTTTGTACTTGTGTGACTGCAAAATTAAGAAAAACAATTCATGAAGGTGTTTATGACACATAGGTGCCATTAGGCACCACATCAATAAAGGTGCCAATAAATGCCTACCCGTTGGGGGAAGCTCCAAAATGAAGATTCCTGAAAACGGGAGTGGCACATAGAAATTTGCAAACATCGGTATGTATAGATGCGCATAACGAGGCCTTTGCTGATGGAGTGCCTATGTGACGGCGTTTATTCAGTAAATGTAAGCGGAATCAAACACATACTGAATTTGATGTTTCTTCATACCACATTTTCCCAATTTTCAAGGTATGGTCTGGAGCAACATTTTTTTTCGAAAAAATGGTACCAAATAAGAGCCATTTTTTAAAGCACCACTTTTCTGATATGGCACCTATGTGGCACCGTTTTCTCAGAAAATGGCATCGATGCCAAACACCGCCTAAGATAACTTCAGAAGTAGAAGTAATTGTTTGGGATAAAAGAGCATTGAACACTTCCCTTTCTACATGTACCAGTTTCTGAAGATTAGCTGAACCGAAAGTAAGAACAAAATTTTTGGTTCTTTTAACTTAATTTTAAAGGGAAAATAACAAGTGGGTGCCACTTAAAAAATAATTTGGCCCTTACAACTTAGGTTACATTTGATAAATCTGAGATCTGAAATCTGAAAAGTTAAAAATATATTATTCAGGTCTAAAATTTAAAAGTAGAAATTATTTTCTGATTTTTAGATGTTTTGAAAAGATAAGATCATTTGAATTGGTCATTCCCTGCCCCTCCTTTGGGAATGAAATCTAATTTCTGTTTATTCTAATTCTCATTCTCATTCCTATTTGAATTTTAAACCAAACAAACTATGGGAATAGACCATTTCAATTCCAATTACAGCTATGAACCAAACAGACCCCCTTATTAAAGAAAATATGTACTGTCAGAGTAAAACAACGTTTTTATTTTTATTTGTCTCTTCTTTAAATTTGTCCAAAATAATGTTAGGGTAGGGTCAAAACTATCGTTCTCCACTTGTCTAAGAAGGTCGATCAGAAGTAAATTGGTAACGAATTACAGGTGTTTTAGTAAATGCAAAGTAAGTTGCGACCTTGAGTCTGTAGCTACCTCATTCACCTCTTTCCTAATATGAGAACTTAATCTTCGTTCCTTACAATCATGCTAACTTAGTAAAGTTAGTAAACCTCCTCGCTAACCTGGTCATTTCCTTCAATCTTTCACGTTCTCTCCTCTCCTCCCATAAGACTTACCCAAAATCCATTACAGATTAACCTGAACCCTCTATAGTCTATACTTCTCTTAACACCCCTCCGCTCCCACAGTATCCTTAACCCATTTCTCTCATAGTCAGGGCTCAGGCTATCTTTTCTACACCATACATTTCCCTTCCCCACTCGCTTAGGCAGTTTCTTGACTTTATTCGGGATCACTCTCGCTCTGCACCATCCCAGTGCCCACTAAGTTCATTAGCAGCTTTCTTATCAGTTTAAACTTTAAAGTAATGGAGGCTTCTTATTTTGTCCAAAAAAAACACGATAAGCTTTAGTAAATCCATAAAAGTACAGGGAGTGTTTGTAAACGACACTTTGTTTAACCCAACTAGGATCTACAGGAGGAAACAACACTACCACCCTACTTCAATCTTTTATATCTTTACATATAGATGATTCACCTTCTGCTTATTCTTAACAAATTTATGAATTTGCATAGTTCCCAAGTCAATCACACACAAATAAGGTTTAAAGTATTGGTCTGTATCAGCCGATACATATCGTTCTGGGACCTCTCCGATACGCCCCTACAGTGGGTGTATCAAAGGTCTGACCGATTCAGGGTGTGAAAGAGGCCTAAACCGGCTCCCCTGAACCAGTTGCGAAAAAAAATTAAAAAAAAAAAAAAACATTAAAAAGCTATATCAATTCGCCTGATATACTGGCGTATCAGACATCGATATTTTGAACCTTGAATGCAATCCAACACAACGGAAAAACTAGAAGTTAGTGGTATTCTTGACCCTAAACAAAACAGTTCACATCTGTGCCCCACAACGTCCTAAAGCACATCCCGGCTGTGTATTAGGAGCATCTCCCGATGATAATACTAAAACTGATGATATCATCATTGGGAAATATTCCCAATACACGGCGGGAATGTGCTGTGGGATATTGTGAGGCGCAGATCTGAACTCTTAACAAAACCTGCCTAATAAAATCCAGTTCTTTCGTGTAAGAAATTATGCAGTTGAAATTGATACCACCAAGTACATCATCCCACTTTTGTCAAGTCTTGGCTAAACCACATTAGCCATTAATTATTGGGCTTTTTTACCCTTAATTTGACGATACTTCTGACTTTGGGATTTCGCGGAGTCGGACTCAATTGTCTTGCTGGTAAGTTCAGCACTTTGAAGTGAGGTCTATACTATGAATAAACAGAGTACCACACATTTTATTGGTCAGTCTGACAACAGAGCATCACACATCTTTCACATTTTCTCCAACCACAGAAAAGTAATCATGTTTATAATGCAATATGGCCAATAGATGAATAGAGCCTGAACCTATACTTGTGGGGTGCAAGAAATCAACATACCATCCATGATTCATGCAAGCAAAAGACCGAGGAGAAAATCACTTGAGGAAGAAAGAGCACAAGATGACATTGCAAAATGATGTAAAATCTCTTCACTCTTGGGTTAGTTCAATTTAATTTATTGCATGTCTATTTTTTGTAGCTCTGTGGAACTGAAATGCAAACTGCAGTTCAGCATCGCAAGCTTCCTAGTTCTCAAAAACCTAGAAATAGTGCCATAAGTATCATGGTCTCGAGTACCTGAAAAGGGTACAAATTGTAAAACTACAAGAAAAGATAAAATTTGATGCAAAAGTAGGTCTAAAGTACCAAGAGTCATTGGTTTTCCCTTTGATACCCAAAAGCCCAAGTTTGCACAATATCATGTTCTTCCATGAAAAACTATTTCATTGATGTTGCTACTTAGCAACTCCTGGAACTGGAAGTTCCCTTCAGTATGGATACTTGAGTGGTTCTTGCTGCATTGCTTTTTGTACAAGCTCCGTCTGTTCCTTCACATGAACTTGATAGAAACCGGTAGCTGTGGCTGCAGATGGAGCACGTCCGACATACTTGATGTCCTCCATAGTACCTCTGCCCAGTGCCCTCATGGCAGTACAAAGCCGAGGTGCAACGTAAGTATATGCACCCATATTCATTGGCTCTTCCTGACACCATACAATCTCTGCATCTGAAAGGTCACAACCACAAATAAACCATGTAAAGTCAGCATTAAGAGACTTACCTTATTCAAAGTAGTGTAGAACCCAATCCTAGATCTAAACAAATAAAAGACATACATGAGAAGACTAAACCATTTTCCAAACAACCACAATATCACGCTTTTAACTGTCAGGCTACCCCCCCAGATTATCCACCAAAATAAAGATTAAGAAAAGGGGAAAATGAAACAGGATCTAGCAGCTGAGTCATAATTTTTTATGTCTATTTTACTAAACAAAAGATGGAATGATCATCAGTACTTAAAGGTTCTATTCTAGATTCATATGAAGTCTCACGGATGGTATTCACAAAACTAGTAGTATCAGTTTTAATAGACAATAGCCGTTTAAGGATCTTAACTCTTAGCAGTATTGCCATAACATTCCTTTTTACACTTCTTCCTCTCTGATATAACAACTTGTGATATCACTTCTATTTGTCGAAGCTAGATGAGCTTACTTGGATATCTCTTCAGCTCTCGCTGGATCAGATCATACGGGAAGGGGCAAAGCTGTTCTACCCTGCAGATTGCAATGTCGTTGCCATTAACTTTCTTTCGCTCTTCGTTAAGCTCATAATAAACCTGCAGACAATAAATTTTGACTTTTGAGTGTACGTAAAACCAATTGTCATATGGGTGTATCTTAGATTTTCTTGTAACTGTGATATGTGCCTTAGGAGAACTCACCCCTAAAAGCTAGCTGTTAGAGGGAGGGAACCCAAGCACATATATACCCCACAACAGCATCTCATACTACCGGTGTGGGATACCTCACATTAGCATCCCATACTACCATCATGGGACAAATGGATCGTAACATTCCACCATGCTCCGCAGTCCCGGCGCCCACGCATGCTGGCTTTGCACTAGTCCACCTAGTCCCAGCCGAACACCGCAATACCAATGTCACCACCTGCGCCGCACGATTGCAACTGGGAGGCATAGTGTAGGCTCTGATACCATTTGATATGTTCCTTAGGAGAACTCACCCCTAAAAGCTAGCTGTTAGAGGGAGGGAACCCAAGCACATATATGACCCCATAACAGCATCCCATACTACCGAAGTGGGATACCTCACATTAGCATCACATACTACCAACATGGGACAAATGGATCGTAACAAACTGCAAATGGAAAAGCAATAAGAAAACAATTGTCATACTTTGCCAGAGCAAAGAACTAAGCGTCTAATGCCCTCCTCAAGATCAGAATGGTTGTTTTGGTCCTTTATAAGGCGCTTGAAACGGGTCCCTTGCTTGTCAAAACCTGGGTGACCCTGGACATCATCAAACTCAGATAGATTTGACTTGCAATCCTTGTGGCGTAGCAGGTTCTTAGGAGCTATCACAATGAGTGGCTTTCGGAATTCCCTGTGTATCTGAGAGATGAAAGCATTCACCATAAGAGAATAAAGAAATGACTTAGAATATCAAAAGGAAAATTAGCATTGATTGGTAGTAATACCTGGCGCCGCAGAACATGGAAATAATTAGCAGGGGTTGTAACATTCACAATCTGCCAATTGCATTCCTGGATCTGCCTCCTAAGTGTTGGATCCATCTCAGGTATAACATAGGGATTATCATCGCTCATCTGCATTTTCCTAAGTATTAGTATGCAGCTAAGACTAGCTGTGGGCTGAGGCTAACAACCAAAAGGGGTGCTAGCCATTACTCAATATCTTGCACAAAGCAATAAAACCATCTTTCTGTTGCTGATCAAAAGAAAAAAGAAGACAAATATGGTTCAACCTGATTCTTATAAATAAAAGGATACCAGTAGTCCAAGGATTTCAGAGATATTGAACTTCAAATGAATTATCAAAAGGAGGCACCAAGCTGGGAAGAAGAGATGCCCTTTCCTGGGCAAAAGAATCAGGATAAATGATAAACCTAGAGCAATGTTTGTACTTAATGGGGATCATGGAGCATATCCCATTTAATTGTTGGTTAATAGTTTCTGTAGAAAAGGTGTTTATATAAAGCTTGATCCACTTAAAAGGTAAAATAACAGACTGCCACAAGAGATTTCACCACTTAGATATCAACACTTTTGTTCCCACCGGGAGGAGATTACTTTTTATGATAGTTTTGATGTTCTGGATATGAATTAGCCTTGTATCTTCCGTATTCTTTCTTGTACAGACTTTACATACTTTTAAACATTCTGTTGAGGAAGTCTTTCCATCCTTTTAATACAAAAATTATACCATTACTTATCGAGAAAAAAACAAACAGATAAAATAACTAACAATAATGTCTACCATCAAAACAAATTAAATACTTAAAAATGTTGCAGGGAAATTACATGATTGATAAAAAAATTACTTTAAGACATGGTTCAAAGTTCAATGAAGTTAAACACTTTTTAGATAAGATAGATCATACAAACATGATAAAAAGTAACGGTAAAATCTGATGTGGGCGCCGGCAGCAGCAGCAGCAATTTAGTGTTCTCAGCAGCAGCAATTTAGTGTTCTCATCCTATCTTATCTATTCAGTATTCTTACCTTATCTGCTTTCAGTAGCAGGGATTAGTAGGAGTCTTATCTATTCAGTGTTCTTATCTTATCAGTTCAGTAGTATGGATTAGTAGGGAGTCTTATCTT